GTAATATCTACCACAATTCAATATCAGCACATTGTTAAGACTTGTCCAACGAAGATTGAATGCTGACACTTGCGAAGATAGGATATGAACAAATCCAAGGCTACGGGTACAGATTTTAAGGGCATCCATTAACTACGTGAGGTAATTTTGGCCATTTTTTTGGTGCCCAAATTTACACAGGAAGTTCAAACTCGGTAGTATAACCGTATATTGAAATAAAAACAAACATTTTTTTAAATTAAAATAGGCATTCTATTCCCTAAAAAAACAGAACTGTTGACAATGCGGTAGTCATTCATAAATGCGTCGTATACTTTTGAAACGAACTTGTCTGCGTGTTAGTTATGAATAATCGCGCGTAAAATACATGAGTTGCCCATAAATCACGCACTTTCTGAGATAAGTTCAAATGAATGTAATTAATTAATTACGAGTGATTTTAAATATTTATCATTTTTTATTAGGACTTTATATATGTCTAGAATTTAATTATAAAAAATAGATACACTTAGAAAAGCCTCCCTGTATAGTATTTTTTTAAGTATGGTATGCTTACTTATTTTTGAAATTTCTTTTTATTTATTTCTTCGTTACCAGATTTTATGTAGTCGTATTGGTTGTAATATTTTTCAATTCCTCTATTCCGCACGCTAGCTCCACTTCAATGACAAGTAGCCAAAGACAGGATTACTGAGACACGGGTGAATAATAATATATAATCAACCCAAATGAAAACTCCTAAAATAGCCGTACACTAAAAATTTCATCGTCCACGTCAAAAAAATGCTCATAAATAACAAAAAAAGTTTTTCAGTCATTCATTCATTCATTCATGATATTCAGCGTTCATCCATCTAATCCATCTAATCATAGACAGAATCTACATTCATAACAAACGGAACGAACAAACTTTCCTACTTCCCAAAGATGGGGTCGCATATTCACGTCCACTAAACCACCCGTCAAAAACGATCCACCCATTAAGACGAATCAAACTCGACGCAGTTGTGTTCCTTAATTACTGAGTTCCTATGGCCGCATTCCAGTTCTGTCATCAGACCCTGGTTACCATCTAGCACTAAAGAACTCGTCATGACGAATCAAACGGGCCGAGACACAATAGGGTTGCGTCGTTTGTTTACTGAGTACATATGACTATCTTCCAGCTCCATCAACAGATCAGACCCTGGTAACATCTAAAAATTAAGTACTCGCCAAGACGAATCAAACGAGCCGAAACTCGATGGGGTTCAGTCGTTTCATTACAGAGTGATCATAGGAACCTCACAGAATAGACCTCACAGATCGGCGTAAAGTACTTATGCGTTTTGTCTGGTGAGTGAGGTAGCTGGAGCACACTTTATTGTAAGGAGAAAACGCATCTGCAACCCTGTGCATATGTCCATGGACGGCTGAAGATGGAGCTTCATCATAAGATCCTGGTTACCTATGAAATTAATTTATTTGTTTATTTATTTATTTATCTAAGCGAAAGACAAACTACTCGTCAATACGATTCAAATGTACCCGAACGCGATGACTTTCTGGCGATTTACACATGTATACAAAATTTCAGCTCAACCGGTAACCGGGAAGTAGATCAAATTTAATTTCCAAGATTTGATGACAAACATTAAAATTTTGTAAAAATGTTCATAAAATGAAAACTACTTGGCCAAATTATGGTAAATTTTTATGGGACAAAATGGCAACTATTCTACATCAAACTAAAGAAGAATCACGTAAATCGGATCATAAATCTCAACGTAATCGGTGTACATACATCGAGAAACTCCTCCTTTTGAAGTCGGTTAAAAATATAAATCTATATTGTGGCAAAAAATATATAAAAATATTATGTTTAACAATTTTAATTAGTGGTCTACCTAAGTCCTGGACCCAGCCCAGGGGGGGGGGGGGTTATGACCCCCATGACTCCCCCCCTGGATCCGCCCTTGATGGTATCAAGAGTGACTACTGGAACCAACATGTCCGCGTTATTTTCAGTAAGATCATCTGCTCCTTCAACCTCTCTCTGATTTAGCCATTCTAATCCGTTATCGCTCGCACACAAAAGCTCAATGGCTCGACGTGTGACAATCCGTGAGGGTCACACTATACTAATCACTTTGCGCGCTGGTGCAGCTGGTGAACTATGAAACGCACGCCGAGTCTTGTGATAGATGAAAAGTAGATACCGCATGTATTGTAGCATATCTCCTAGATCACCACGCACACTTGGGCAATAGAGATCATACAGGATGCCGATGAAGGCGTGCAAAGGTTGAATCGGTAGGCAATGGCGAATCAAGAAGGGAGCAAATAACCTTCCGTCATGCTATTCAGGGTCCGGGATTTTCGGATGCCCATCAACCGAAGTGATAGGGTATGGAGGTAACGGAAAATGGTCATGACGAATCATATGTAGAGCACTCCGGCGCCGGGTGCAGCAGTCCCGATCATAGTATTTCACAACCTAAAATAATAAAACAATTCCTTATTTTTTACTCTAATTAAGAATGCATTTGTCAGCACTCGCACTGGATAAAATATTTCAGTAAAATATACCAAAGAATGAATGAAATCGCGATAAAAATAAAAGATAAAATACTTTGAAAATTCCTACGAAAAACAAAATACATCCTCAAATTACACTTTTTGGTGGTGACCGATAAGAAAACAATTCTTTTTCTTTTATTGAATAAATTAGAAGTTAATATCGTTTAAAATATTTTTATCATTTTACAGTAGGTTATTCAGGAATTTTTATCATTAAAACTATAGGTTTATGGTAACTGAAATAAGAAAGAAGTTAGAGAAATAAGAAATATAAGTCAGTGAAAGCTGGTTGTTTAAATAATTACTTTATTGTCGCCCACAAAGACGCGCACAATGAGCCTCTCAGTAGCGTTCTAGTTTCTACAACTACCACCGGTGCGACGACTCTTCCGTTCCGCAGCAATCTTACAGTGACACGAACACGGACTGCCGGTGCGCTCCCTCTCGCACCAATCTCCACTAAACCAATAAATAAAAAAATATGATATAATATTATAATATCCATCCGTGCGAGGCGAACGCTCGGCCGAGCTACATGGTAGGCGAAGTGGGGGGTGTTAGGTTTTATATTCGTTACGGAATTTCTAGATTCGGTCGCCACGCTCAAAGCCCGCTATAAAATCTATGCAATAGCTTAAAAACAGATTTTTTTTAATATAATTGATTTTCAGGAGTTCCCTAAGTATCTCTGGAGCCCAAGATCCAATACTAAAGAAATTCCAAGACCACGTGGGTAGCACCAGCTTTCAAATAAAAAAGAATCATCATAATCGGTTCACTTAATGGAAAGTTCTGAGGTAAAAAAAATACAGTTGAATTGAGAACGTCCTCCTTTTTTGAAATCGGTTGAAAACAGTAGTACCTACCGGGTAAGGGTGTCACTGAAGTGATAACAGAAACTAATAAATAAAATATAAATGCATATTAATAAATTATGCATAAATAAACAGCATATATCAATATATGCATAAATATAATAATAACATAAATATTTGGATATAAGTTGACAACATCAAGGACTAGAACAATGGTTAAGGCATAAAGTGTTTTTTTAAAAACTCGCTTAAAAATAGGTAGCGTAACTACATATTGGTAGGAGAGAGTTCCAAAGCCGAACAGCTTCCTCGGAAAAGGACTTGGAATAGAAAGATGTATTATGGAAAGGATTTCTGAGGATAGAATTGTCATCGGAGCGGAGAGGTCGATTTGGGTTAGAATCACAGAGATACTCAAACCAGATAAGGAGGGGTTGGATTGAATAGAACAGAATATAAGAGTGAAAGAAAGGTGAGTAATCCTGCGAAAGCGGATTGCAAGGCACTTGAGTTTATTTCGGAATTCAGAAACGTGGTCATATTTACGAAGTCCAAATATGAACTAAATACGGTGTGTATTACACCTTTATGTTTCTCTTTGACGGATGGTCGAAGAAGATTTATACACGCACATGTGTGTTAGCATTGAGAAAATTAAAGATAATTTACAAATAACATAATGTAGGTACGCAACGCGTTTTAGCATAAACCTATTTCAGGTTAGGTCAATATTTTTCATGGAAATCTTCGGACGATAATGATAACTTAGTGTTAAGAGTCACCCATACTCAGCAGCACCATCCGGAGACAGCTATACTAGTTTTATCGGTAATACTTTTGATTAAAGAAACTATAGAAAAACACTGCTAAAATCAATAGTAGTGAGATAGTTTTTCTCCATTGAAGTGGTATATGTGTTAATCGACGTGGTATACAAGATGAAAGTAGCATTAATGCCAAACGGTACGACATAATGCTTGCCGCAAATGTTCATCGCTAAACTGGACTGAACAAACACGAGCTGGTTTCGCTTTGATAACTTATTTTAACAATGAGCACGGACACGTTTTCATTGAGGACCTTATTACTTGGTGGAGACTGCAAAATTTTTCATTAATGTGGACTAAATATTTACTTAAACACTTTCTTGGAGGTTTTGTGTATTAGCTAAATATTATAATTGAGAGCCAACGAACGTGTGTAAAACCGACTTGAAAGTCTGGCGCTGTTAGTAAATGCCACTTATTAGCACACCATTTATACAGGTGTAGGAAAAGAGGATGCGGCTGAAAAACATGCAAAACAAATATTTTTCGTGCTTATATGCATTTGGTGCGAAGCTGTTAACTAGCATGTATATACAAGTCTCAAGTGATTTTTTTTCCACTCAACCCTCAAGTTTGCGGCGTCAGCTGAGGAATGAATTAAAAACACTTAATAAGCGATGATAAACTTTATTTAAAACTAAACGGGTCAACATAATCTAGTAATAGCTCTGTTATATCTATGTACAGTATTAGAAATCCATAAGACCTAATATATCAGCCTTTCTTTTTCGATGCTAAACTTATTCTACGAACAACTAGGGATCCAGTTATCGGGGTATATATTTTACTTAGGTCGCTAATTGGTCGGGTTCCGGGGGTTGGGTTCGGTGACGTTCTGCAGTCGTATGGTTATGTCGACCAGAGCCATATTGGGCAGTATGAAGTCCTCGATGCTGCTGGCGGTGGCCGAGGGCCGGTCGAAGGGGAATCCCATGGGACGCTTGTCTGGGTACATCTTGTCACGCAGGCCGCAGTAACTGGATGCCTCCTTGCACGTCATTTCCCCGCCGCCGGGCTGCTCGATCTGATTATGGCGGACAACCGGATTATTTATTTTGCTCCATGCAACAAGGGCAACCAAAACCGAACGATAAGACTAAGAAGACATATTATAAACCTTACTGATATTGTGAATTTGAAAACTTCTAAGTTCAAATTTAATAGAAATATCGATGAAAAAGACAGACAAACTTGACTGTTTATCGCCTTGCAATGCAAACGGATATTACACGCTTGGGCTGTGCAGCTTTTATCATTATTTACCATAATTACTATCTTTAAAGTGTACATCGCCGTAACATCACACATAACTACGTCTTGGCACGTAAGTACTAGGGTCGAAACAAACTGCTTCAAAAATTAGTTTATCACCTGATATAATCTCGTCGACTTCTTAGATTCAACTTCGGACGCATCTAATGACAGGTTCGCCGTTATCGGCATACAAGCCAGACAGTAGAAGCAGTAGTTAATTGAGTGGGTTACCTTGTCCAGTTCGTAGTTGGACAGCATGACGAAGAGCTGGTACGCGGCGCCGGCCTCTGTGCCGCGCGGCACCAGCATGTGCTGGGGCCAGCCGCAGCCACAGTAGTTGAACGAGACGAGGTCACCACGCCTCGGGTCCTGGCCCCCCGCGCTGAGGTCGCGGAACGTCTGCTCGAACGGAATGCTCACCGACGACTGGCTGGACTCGCGCATGATCGTGTTCTGCCCGGCGTTCACTGTAGCATGGCGGCGGGGGCGTTAATAACACCAAATGGCAGCAAAGGAGATGTCTCCGTGGCGCAGTTGCCAAGGTATTGTCTTCGGCGTCTGGGGCCGTGAGTTCGATTCCGGCACGGGACAACTATTTGTGCGACCCACAAATGATTGTTTCGTATCTAGGTTTTTGTCCGTGTGATATTTATGTTTGTTAACCATCCTTACCTCAGTACCACAGGATAATGTTATTCTATAGTATGTGAATGGTTTATAAAAAAAAATTCGAAAATGTATACTTGCTTGGGCAGGCATTTAATTTGATATTTCATTTTTCAATCATACTAAGCTAATCTTATCTATTTAATTAAATGTAATCAATTTAATCGGGACTTTGCAGGCAATAATTAACAGAAACCTGATTGATTATCGAATAAGTGAACAAATAAAATGACACATCAACTTTTTACCGGATGACCTAACATATTCCTAATTAAATATTTCGAACGGCTGGGCTAAATTGCTTACGTGGCACGACAAAGCGGTCCATCTCGATGAACATCTTCCGCTGGTCGGAGAGGGCCCACGCGAGATTTCGCTCGTCGAATTTGGGCGCCATGAAAATGCGGACAGTGGCTCGACGCGCGTTGCTAGTGTTGTTCACGTTTATACTGCAATGCGGGAGGGAAACTCTTAGCATAATTTTTCATGTTACATGTAATGGTACTTTTGAATGAGAGTTAACAGTTAGTTCCCTTACAGCGTCGTCTTCAATTTATTAGTTTTTTTTTATACATATACATTTTTGAAATGAGAAATGACCAAGTTGTTCAACACTTTACTGAATTGGCAACCGAAAACTGACTTTTATATAAAAACAACTTAAAACAATTTTCGTTAGGTGATTAAATAGCTAATCGTTTCTCCTAATTTCATTTTTGCACCCGATGATTTGTTGCAATGTAAGTTTGAAAGAATTTTGCAGTTCAAAAACTCACACGTAACGGAACGGTCTGTGGTTGAGGTGAGTGAAGCGGGCGAACACCGATCCGCGGTCGGAGAAGTCGAGGCCGCGGGACAGGTCGACGTCACTCATCATCCAAAAGGTGTTGAGCGTGTTCATTTGTCCGCCAGCGCTTTCGATCGCAGCCGACGTCACATCGACGCCGCGGTTCTCCAGCTGGTCATCATTTATGCTTGTTATATGTATTAAATCAATATTTAAATTAGGATCTAAAGTCCTACACCACTTTAATAATTTCCAATAGAATCTACTTTAAGTTCTTATTAGTTTTAGTGTTGTTTGAAATAAAATCAAGAAATAGCTTCTATGTCGGAATAGGTTACTTAAATATAAATTCACGGCCTCAATGCTCACCCATAATTGAATTCAAAGAAATTTTAATATTAATTGTTGTTAATACTGATATTAATATACCTATTACGATACGAAATGTTAGATTATGATATGTTATTAATGTGACTTTCGAAAAATATATTAATTGTGGTATTGGTAGGTAATTGTATATATGGTTTGGATATATTTACAACCCTTACAAACCTCGGAGCGTGTATAACGGCGAACATTAGTAGATTCCTTGTATCTTTGGAAAAGATCGTCGATCCACGCGTGCCAACGGTAGAAGAAGGGATCCCGCATAGTAGTGGCTTCGTCAGCAATAACCCCGAAGGATTCCTAAAAGTATTCATTATAATATCCATAAAGTATATTGTTATAATATTTACTTATCGTTTTAAAATAAATTCATCATAGTGTATAGCTGCCCTAGAACAAAATTTGCCAAAGACAATCGAGAGCATGCCAGTTTAATGCAATAACTTAATATTGAAATTAAAAAAGTTTATAGTTTTTGATTTAATTTACAATTAGAATAAAAAAAATATTTCCTTACTAGATAGCGATGGTTAGGATCATGCATATACGCTGAAAAGCTATGGCCGTTGTTGTGTATGCTACCATACAGCTCTCTGTTCGGTGATAGTATACTCGATTCCACCATGTTGCCTAAAGTATCGATATCAAGCGCTTGTGTTGAACCATTTGGCTGAAATATAAAAAAATATAAGTACTATATTTGTTCGTAGAGACATTGAAAACATTAATGCGGGAGATTAAAACATGTAGAAAAAGTACGAAAAGATTGTCGCCGATGTGGGAATCGAACCCACGACTTCGGCATTCGCGGCCTGACGCTTTAACCACTAAGCTAAATCTTAACGTCTTTTATCTACATTGTTTTTTAGCATTTGAAGCAATGCGTGGCGCATCCATTGTTATATCCTATATACAGCGTGTCGTTACCACCGCGACAATAAATGAACACACATATAGAGGATAACTTTTTAAAATTGTATTAAACATTTACATTCTTTAAACATTTACATTCTTTAAACATTTACATTCTTTAAACATCAATATTTACCGAGTTTTTAAATTTTGCAAAACAAACAATTTTAGAACACCCTTACGTACAAAACTGTAACGTAAAGTTCATTTGTAAAGGTCACAAATCATATGAATGGGTTGAATGAATTTAAAAGAGACAAAACATACTGTTAGAAGGAAAGGCTTGTAATGCGACGCTGTGGCGCGAGGTGTATAGGATGTTACAAATTTTGTTTCTTTTTTACTTAATTAGTTTGTTTGAAAAATATTTTTTTTTAATTATGGATTTTGTTTCATGTTAATATTTTTTTATGATTATTGGCAAGTAGCGTTAGACGTGTGTTCATTTATTGTCGCGATGGTAACGACACGCTGTATATATTGAACATTAACACATTCGTCGGCGTGGCAATCAGTCATTTAGCTTAGTGGTTATAGCGTCAGGCCGCGAATGCCGAAGATGTGGGTTCGATTCCCACAGCGGCGACAATCTTTTCGTACTTTTTCTACATGTTTTAATGACCAATCTTAAGTACAAATATTAGCACTATAAACAATTTAAATTTAGCAAGAGATTAAATCCAAAAAAAGCAAATGTTTAAGCTAGGGATTCGATAATGTTTATATTCTTGGGTGAACAAATAACTCTATCGTCATATTTTCTTCTTACCAATCGAACCATTCCAGTGGCAATAGCTTCTTCTATATTTCTTCTCCAACGTTCCATGTCGGCAATGGTGACATTAAGTCCATCAACAGGACGGTTTAGATCCTGCCAGCGCATGTTGGCCTGTCGTGGTGGCCATCCTCGTGATGATGTCAAACTGTCTAGTTTAGGGAAATAAGCTTCTGGGATTGGTTCTCTCCAGTTACTGAATTTCTTTGTTCTAGGTAATGAATTATTAAGACGTTCTCCGTTGTAACTATAAAAGAAAATATAGTCATATTTTTGCTTTATGAAAAGGATTAGATCTGTCAATTGAATTGAAAAAAAAGTTGTTACCGAGCTATTATTTGTTGATGCATATAAAAGAATAATTCTCCACGACGATCTTTTGCGACAATTCTTCTGTCACTAGCAGTGAATGGATACACGAGATGCCAATGCCAGTGGTGTAAGTTAACGCCAATGTCCTCACGAAAGTATGCTAAACGATGCTCAATATCCAGATCCGTCGCTGTGTAATCTCTTGGAATTATAATTGGGATGCGCTAAAAAAATGAAATATTTTTTTTATAATTCCATATTTCTTTAATTTAGTTTGGATATGGTTAAAAAGGAACGTAATTTAACTGCTATTTTTGTAGTCTGTGGTTTAATTTCCACTGTCATCTGTTTTGGTAAAATAGATGCCAACTCGTTTTACAATTTACGCATAACAAAAGACCAACAAGGAAAATAATATTAATTGACACAATTATACATACATATTTTTAAATTCAAATATTAATTATAATTATTTAGTACATGTTCTGTTCGTCATGTTCTAACAGTGGTCAAATAAACGAGTGATTTTTTTATTTTATTCAACAAGTTCTGTGTAGGTAACGAAACGGGATTATATGCGAAAGTCACGTAGGCCACTATTCGAGCGTGTTTATGTTTGGGTTTTTAATGAAATATAACCCCTGTCTACTATAACCTTTTTGAAAATAATATTAATATATTATTATGTACTAAATTATGGAAGATTTATTGCAAAACCCTAGTGTTGTCGTTGTGCGGGCAAAGCCTGAAGGCCAAAGAAAAACTTTTAAACCGGCAATACGCTCTGTGAATAAAATCCCCGACGAATTATTGAATGATCCGCTATTAAATAGAGCTTGTGAATCTCTTCCTCCAAATTATAATTTCGAGATTCACAAGACAATATGGAGAATACGGTCTATTGGTGCGAAGAGAGTTGCCTTACAGCTACCCGAAGGTAAGTTTCGTGACAAACAAACTGTTGAATTTTTATATAAATATTGTCCTATTTAAAAATTAATTGTATGTTAAATTTCAGGATTGACATTATTCGCTACAACGCTTTGTGATATAATCGAAACGTTTACGGAGGCTGATACTGTGATAATGGGTGATGTGACTTATGGAGCCTGCTGTATTGATGATTTTACTGCACGAGCTCTTGGTGTGGATTTACTTGTGCATTATGGACATTCTTGCCTTATACCAATAGACCAAACATGTGATATTAAAGTTCTTTACATATTTGTAGATATAAAAATTGACCCATCACACTTTTTAGAGACAATTAAACTTAATTTCCCAAAGAAAACTCATCTAGCTATAGTTAGTACAATTCAATTTGTCACAACATTACATTCGGTGGCTAGAAATCTTCGTAGTGATGATTATATAGTTACAGTCCCACAGTCTAAACCATTATCACCAGGTGAAATTTTAGGTTGTACTGCACCGAAATTAAGCTGTGATGTAATAATATACTTGGGTGATGGTAGATTTCATTTAGAATCGGTTATGATAGCAAATCCTGATATACCGGCATATAAATATGATCCTTATGAGAAAAAATTTACCTCTGAATTATATGAGCATAAGATAATGAAAAATAATAGATATAATCAATTGAAGACTGCTGAGGATTCCAGCAAGTTTGGCCTTATATTAGGCACATTGGGGAGACAAGGCAGCACAAAAGTATTGGCCAATCTTGAGAAACAAATTCAGAATTCGGAAAAGAAATATGTAAAGATATTATTATCAGAAATATTTCCTAGTAAACTGGCAATGTTTGACTTAGATGCATTTGTACAAGTTGCTTGCCCAAGATTGTCAATTGATTGGGGTACTGCATTTCCAAAACCATTGCTTACACCATATGAATTTTCCGTGGCTCTTGGTAATTCTAAATGGCTAAAAGAAGATGGTACTTATCCGATGGACTTTTATTCCAATGATAGCCTTGGTCCATGGACACCAAATTTCAAACCTGTACTATGTTCTGGCACAGACAAAAAATGTGATAACTGTTGCGGGGGTAAAGAGAAATGATGTACTTACAGGGGTGCCCTTTGGTATAACTGCTGCAGTCTCTCTTGCTTGCGCAAAGACTTGGGAGTTTAGGAATTTGGATGGGAAAGTTTCTGCAAAGTTTTGGATGCGGACATTCTTAGTGTCATTTCTGTAACAATGATTTGTAATAGTTGAATTAAAAAAGAATAAAAGAAACAATTTTCAACAAAAAATTCTCAACATACCTGTGCATCAATGCCACAGTGAAGCAGTAATTGAAAAGTTGAGGGTTTAAGTTCACTCGGGCATACACACAAGTTGACAAGAAGTCCTGAAGTTCATTTTCGGGAACACCTGATAGAATGATTTATGTTTTATTTAATTTAATTATTGTTTAATATAAGCTTAATCTGAATCTATATTTTAATAAAAGGAATTTCATAATGTATTTTTTTATTTATGTTATTAATTTATTTGAATATAAGTAAATATTTTACTAACTGGCTAGGAACTGGCAGTATAATCAAGTACTCATGACTTGAGCATCTACATTTAAGATAGAATTGAAACTAAAATAAAAAGAGCTTTTCATGTCTATCTTCATGTTATTGAATGATATGAATAGTGTTAAAAGTAACATTTTTATATATATATTTTAATCCATTTAACTGTATATTTTCTACGTTTTTTTTTTACTTAGCAATTTTATTAATGTCTCCAGTGGTGTCACGAAAAGAGATTTGATTCGATTTACGGTGGTAGGGCCACGCAGCAGCCTCGGCTGTTGCACTAATGGGCAGGCTCGTCTGGGTAAGTACCACGACCTCACAGAAGGCCGGCGTAAAGAATTAGAAATAGACCGGTAAGTATAATACTTTCGCGTTTCGTCTAGTGAGTGAGGTAGTCGGAACCCAATTTTCAAAAGGTTGTCAATGCATCTGTAACCCTCGGGTGTAGCAGATGTCCATAGGAGGTGGTATTCACTCAACATCAGGTGAACCGCCTGCTTGCTTGGCAACTTATCACATAAAAAAAATCTCAACGTGGGCACGTTGTGGTTTTTAAAGGAAATAATATGATGTTACTAACTAATTATAATACTTTGATAGGTAATATACTTGCGCTTGACAAGATTATACACACACATGGTGATAGAACACATCAACTAATAGTACGTCTTCATCTGCGAGCACGGCGAGACTAGGGGAATCCACATTAGGGGGAGTTTCTCATCAGCACTAGGCAACAATTAATACAGTCAAGGGCATCGGGTCCACGGTTAGTACCGAAACTGGATTGCCTGTGACATTCCGTACAAATAGGAGCCCACATGTGCTCATAGATGCGCAGCCTTACCCCATAGATGAGATCCGCATGAAGCTCGGGGTTCTGGTTATCCCACGAGTTCTGCATTCGATGAAGCTTTAATAGTCTACGGACTGAAAATGAGAATATCAGTCACATAAATATCTTGTATCTTGTATTAACTGATGTTTTTTCTTTCAGTCCCGAGACAATTAAAGCTCCATCTGACGCAGAACCGGTGAGGAAGCCAGTCCTCCGCTGTGGGTAGGGCCGCGCATGTGCTCATGCGTGCGTTTAAGTATGGTGTGTCATCTAAGGGCCATCGAGGTCGCGATTCGGACCGAAACCCCGATGGCCGTCGACTGTGCAATTAGCTAATCGGTGGCTGGGAGCGATGAGTACCGCCCCGGAACGCGGGTGTACCTTGTGTACGCCTTGTGTTGGCGAGGGCGAACTAGTGTGTTTGTTGTTGCACTAACTGTGGATTTAGTGTTATCCGGCGGGATCACATAAATATAAAGGAGGTTTGATATACTCACGCAGCAAAGCGTCTATGACCTCTGTAGCCATCTCTTGGTGCTTCGGCAGGAATAGGGAGAAGTCGGTGTCAACGGGCAACTGGGACGCCTTGGGGAATTTGGGCAGCTGGCTCAGGCCCTTGAGCGGGATCGTGTTGGCATTGTCACCGAAACGGTTGTTGAGCTCGATGCCGTTGTTCTCATATCCCTTTGGCTGAGGCGACAAGGGCTTACTTTAATTTCGAACACTAGTATATTTACTCTCTACTCTAAGTGCGGAAGGAATACGCAACGGCTTCAGCTGTTGAACGAATGGGCAGGCGCGTCCGGGGAAGTGTCACGGCCTCACAGAACACTGGCGTGAAGTCAAAGTAATCAACTTTCGCGTTTCGCCTAGTGAGTGAGGTTGCCCTGGCCCACTATTTTAAAGGTTGTCAACGCATCGGATGAGGTACCGAACCTTCACAGATGAGTTTGGAATGAGTTAACATTTAAAGTCGAGCGCTGGCCGTAATCACTTAACATCAAGCGAACGGCCTCGAATAACCACCCTTTCCGAAAATGACTATACTTATTTAAGGAGTTTCGGGTTCATGTTATAGGGGTAGACTTCTATAGGTAGGGTTACTAAAAATAAGGCTTCGTGAAGAAAAGGGATAAGTATTGCCATGCGTCCTAATTTCGTCTATGGAGCAGAGTATGACAAGAAATCACGATGGGATTAATTGTAATCAATGATGCACGAAATCGAGATTCACCCCAAACCGAAGAAACAGAGAGTTTGTACTATTTTTGAATGAAATCTCTTGAAAGTAGAAATAAATGATTATAGAAAAATTAAGTAGAAAAAAAACTCACCAAGTACTGTTCGGTTAGCTGGAAAACGGTGTTGTCTTCCCCCTTAGGTGTTATAAGGGTTTCGTTCGGACGGTCGAAGAGTAATTCGATACTGTTTACAACCGACATTTTTTGAATTTAGAAATGTACGTTTCTAAAAAAAATATGCTCACTTCACAGCGACTGTGAAGTGGTAATAATTTTACGGTCCATGCTCTGGGTTATATAGTTATTCCCTAATTGGTTTTGCGCACAACATGGTTGCCGAGTGCAAAACCGCAAAGGGAAGCGATAAAATTGTATGTGAACTTTACAACTGTTAAACAAACAGTTGTGGTGGTTTATAATTGTTTATTTGCGAAAGTATTTAATCAGAATAATACTATCTATGGGTTTTTTGCTTACGACCCATAGAAAAGAATCGATCTGTAAAGTGTTTGTTAGTTTGTAAATTAATAAACATCGAATAAGGTAGGTACTATACTGTATAGGAAAGTAAAGTTAAGTGCATTAGCAAATTTTGCATATCTTCGATATATATTTATTTCATTTCTTATCACTTCGAATATGATTTTTATTGACAACCGAGTGCGTAAATCACAACATAATCTTGCACTTAACTCTTTCATTGGTTCCATAATTTAAACTCGGGTTGCTCTAAGATAACTGTCACAATGTATTTAATACACGTAATAAACAGTTTTAAATCCAACTATGTATAGTTAATGTTATTTTCCTTATAAAATACATTGGCTATTGACTAAAATTGTTCACGGTCAACCTCAAAGCTTCATCAAGTTTGAAAGAATTATGAACAAATTCTTGAACAGTTTATATTTTTACTGTAATTTAACAAATAAAAATTTTGTATCTTGGTAATACATGTCTTAATATTATTCTGGGTAAATTTAAGCTACAATTCTATAATTTTAAAAAGAGTGAAATGTTAATATTTAAATCTGGAAAATATAGCTCTCCTAATCCACCTCCAGTTTTATTAACGGACATTTCCTTAGAATTGTAGATCGTTTTAGATACCTTGCATTTAATACCATGACGGAGAACCTTAAAGACGATGCCTGCATAAGTTTTTTAATTTAGTTTTTTAAAACCTAATGGCAAGCATTTTACTAGTGCGGTCTGTGGGTTAACTATACGTAGCGTAGCGTCCATTTAAATCCCTTCGTGGGATGTACTCGTATAATAAGGCTTTTAGAATGCTGTTGGGGTTGCCGCATCTCTGCAGTGCCTCTGGTATCATCTTGGAAGCAAGTAATATTAAAAAAAACAAGTAATATCCTCGTATATACTGACCAGATTCAGTGGCAGTACATCTAAGTACGATTTAACCTACCTAATTTTTTTTTATGTTTAAATTATTCATCATTAATAATTTGTTAATTTAATTCGAATTTACCTATTATGTTTTTATGTAACTTCTATGTTTGAATTTTCTTCCATTGTAATTATTATTATAGTACCATCTATTAGATTACGTAGGGAAAGTAGTAGGTGTATATGGGTAAGGTACTTAAGACATTTGCGTTTTACAGGTAGGTTATTTATTATATCCATATTGAAATCTTTCTGATAATATTTCAAATTCAAAATTATTGCTAATTTATATGATTTTCAATTCAATTGGGATTTTTCCTGAAATAAAGATTTTTTTAAATTATTAAAAACATTCGTGCAACAGCCGAAATACCTACGTGGCTACAGCAATCCCTGTCTAAAAACATGGTAATATTTTTTTATGTTTACAATGTTATAATCTCTCCAGTAGGTACTTATAAATTAATATATTATACAGTGATACTTTTTGCGCTTTAAGGATTTATATGTTAATTGTTTTGCAATAAATACTATTTTAAATGATTTGTTTAAAACAAACAGGATAGGTACTTATGCATCTCAGAACAGGAAATAATTACGAGCATTTAGTGGTATTCCAAGCACAAGCAGCATACCGCTGGGTAAAACTCTAGACAAGGAAGTATTTGAATGCAAAAGATAGACGCTCGTAATGTAAAAAAATAAAGTTACTTCACTACATAGTATAAAATAAAGTCGTCCCGTAGTCTATCTGTATACTGTAAAACCATTGCATTGTCGCAGAAATCTGGACCATCCAAATAAACTCGTCAGTTTGAAGTGAACGTGAACTTTTTTCACTCACGGAAGGACGAGAACAGCAACTATTTGTGACCATTTCACATTTGCCTCCCCACTTATTTTTGTTTATTAGTAGGTACCTATTTACAATTAGTTAGGCGTAAAATTGATTTTCCTTTAGTATCTGATTTATTGTGTTATTGTCTTTTTATTTTCGTTTACTGTAATTATTTTTTTTTTTAAATTGAACAAATCTGAACAAAAGATCTTCTGCATTTTATTCATAAAGAAGGCGATAAGGATTTATTAAATTTGTATATAAATAAGGCTTATGTATTATATCATGTGTTCCCAAGAGGTCCGTGGATAAACTTAAAAAAACAAAAAAAGATTAATTAAAAAAAAAACTGTTAATTAACTGTTCATTTACGAGAACACAAGATTCACGAAGTTCAAGAATGAAGTAAAAGAATGAAATACCTAGGAAACTTACACAGAAACTACAGTTTCCGTAGACCAAATCCTTTCAGGAAAATTACATGGATACTTTTGGCATGCTGTCCGATAAAACCGTGAAAACTTAAAATTAGAATAACTATTTTATTTTTAAATGAATTAAAGTATGAATAACTAAATTTCCAAAACCCTTATTTAAATTACAAAAGACCTATTTTATTTCTTTCAATTTAAACCAATAAACAATAATTTTGAGACACTGAGCCATGATGGATTAGTGTTCGGGTGCCTGCTTTTAATTCAATATACCTACACAAGCAACCTGAGGTCAGTTCCCGGTGCCAGTACCAATGGAATTGTTAAGGAAAATCTCGTGAAGAAACCTGTACATATTTTAGAACAAAAAATCGAATATATGTGTGTGGGACTAGTATAACGTTACTTTATTTCACATTAAACAATAATTTTGAGTAAACAACTTTTTTTAAAATTAGAGAATTTTATTGATGTGAAACATCTATAGCCGCACGTAAAACCGATTTCTGGCTATATGATGGTATATACAGTCTATATACAGTATTGTGTACGATTAATTACTCAAATTTAAATTAATTGTTAATAATTATTTATTAATTATTAATTAAATAAATTAACTTTAATTAATTGTGTGTACTATTACCGAAGTCACTGATTAAACGAATTAAGTAGTCACGATTTGAAATAAATGAATATGAAATAAAAAATGTTTATTCAATAAATAGTCATCGTTATCTGGAAAAAAATCGTAATATTTTATTTTTATCATTATGACATATTTAGTTCATATCACAATCTGTTCTTTTCTACATATTACTTTTACAAAATAATGTCGATGTTTCACATCTGCCAAGCGTCCCGTGACGGCTCACAGTTTTTTTTAAATGTGGGACAGAAATACTATCGCATATTTGTTTTACAGATTTAAATATTAGAAAAGCAAATAAAATCAAAATTATTTAGTATGTCGGTGACGCGAAGCTATGAATTTTTCCTTATCCTGAATTGCCCAACAAACCTACAGAAGTTTTCATTTCAATGATTTCGTTAGACTACCTATTCTATAGTATCTATGTCAATATTTGTGAAGACTGTTTTTTAGTTCTCTTTCCGCGACAAAGCTCTCTGAGAGCTTTCAACATCTAATTCTTAAATTAAATGGTCTATAGGATTATCCCCAATCTTGCTTTAGTACTTAATTCTTTTCTTTTTTTGTACACGGAGACTGATATAAAAACGTTTACCAAGGGGAAATCGAACTAACTGATCCAAATCGGCTGGCGGCAGTGAAGATTGCAGCGGCGGTCGAATGTTTTCCGGGAAATCACTATTGCGGTGAGTTCGTTTTGGTTCCGTTATCGCCGGCAGCCAAATTCACACAATGACATGTTAATATGTTGATAAATAGAACACAGAATAAATATTTTATAAATAGCCGTAACTTTGTTCACATATGTGAAGGATAAAAGTTTATCACTAAGAAATAACGTAGCGAAAAATTTAAACCGGTTAAACTAACGAGAGCAATTTAATGTTACAAACTGAAGTTATTTCCTATAGAAGTTATTATATTTATCTGTATATACAGTGTACAGCGACAGCTAGTAACAACATTAGGTGCAGTGGGGCAATTCCGAAAACGGGTATATTCCGAAATCGTTAAATTTCTATTAATTATAATTATATTTCCCTACTAGCAACGTTAGGCTAGACAGCATATTTAATAACCACGCCGTCTCAGTCGTAGCAAGTCGCTAGTGACAATATTATGTGTGTGACAGCAAGTTTTCTTGGACAAGTGTTTTTCGCGTGATTTTTAGCCATTCATAATAACCCCAATAAATTTATTTCGCAATTTTGGTAAGTTACATTGTTCATGTAGTAAGTTTTCCTTTTAACCATAGATTATCGTATTATGCGTTTATGTACGAGGAACATAACATACTAATTGTTATTAATTTTTTTTTTCGGAAATACCCTTCCGTGTTTATTCCGATACATTATATTTTCCTTATAACCCCATTAAGCTTTTACATAGTAATTAGCAGTGGTTCTCAAACTTATTTTTATGTATCTCCATTAATAACAAATTTGTTTTACATATCTATCATATCCCGAAATTACATAAGAAAGAAAATTAAAAAATACACTTCACAAGATTTGGCTCAAGCGATCGAATAAGTTATAAAGGGAGAACTAACTTAATATACTGCAGCTCTAGTATATAAAATCCCCTTGACGACTCTTCATGAATACGTTAAGAGAAATAAAGCAACAGTCAGGTTTAATGCAAGAATACCTACCGTCATACCTATAGAAGAAAATAAATTAGCAGAACTATTAAACTATAGAAGATGTCGCTGAACATGTGCAGGTAAACAATATTCCGACACCATTTAAGAATAATGTCCCTGGTTAATTAATTTCCGAAAACGACATAAATTGTCTTTTAAAAAGTACAGCCGGTAGAATTTGTAAGAAGAAAATGACCAGATCTATTCGTTATTGCAGAATATTTCGAT